GCCGAAGGCGACCAAAGCGGGTCCGCGGGGAGAATCTAGGTAAGATTAAAGGTCAATTATATAATCCCACATTAATAAATAAATAAAAAATAAAATTATGTTATCCTCTCTTTCTCTCTCTCTTTCTCTCTCTCTTTCTTAGAGATAATAATAAGTAGAAACTTTTGTTGAAGGTAGACGGGAACGGGGTGTTTATTTGGTACATTGAAGGAACTACGCTAAGGCCACCGTCTGCCCCGTTCAAATCGATGCCCACCATTTACGGGTATCGACTGGTTGACTCACTGAGCCACCGCGTCGACGGCGCTGCCATTCTGCCTCCGGCAGGTCTCCCGGAGGATAAAGCTCCTCAAATCTTCGATCATCACCGCCGAGCTCTTGAGCTCCGGGAAGGCGTAGAAGGCGTGGATGGCGCCGGCGTACTCGATGATCTCCGCCTTCTTCCCCCTCAACCGCAGGCTCCGGAAGTACTTTAGCTGCCAGTCCCGCAGCGGGTCGAACTCACCCACCATCACCACAACCGGCGGGAAGCTCTCCCCTAGTTCGGCCGCCGCGGCCTCGGGGTTTGCAGCCTCGTGGTCACGAGTGGCACCGTCGGGGAGGAACGCCTTCCAAAGCCAGTCAGTGCGGTCGGTGGTCACGACGGGGCCATGGGCGAGGCGGATCTCTGAGTCCACTCGCTCCTCCCCGCCAAAAAAGGGCTGAATGGCGACGAGCCCCGATAGCCTGATCCGAGCCTCCGAGGGGCGCTCCCCGGCGCTCCACCGCCGGGCGACGTGGTGAGCTATGTTGGCCCCAGCGCTGTCGCCGGCGATGAAGCAGTTGGAGAGGTCGGCCGCCTCGAAGAATTCCCGGAGGAGGCCCCCGCCGGGGATGTCAACATTGGACTCGAGGAAATGGAGGACGTCAAGCCCGTCGTCGTACTGGGCGGGGAACCGGTGCTCTGGCGACAGACGGTAGTTGACGGAGACCACGGCCACGGAGAGCTTCCTGCAGAATCGGCGGCACACGGCGTCGTACTCAAGGGACGCGGCCGAGAGGAACGCGAAGCCGCCACCGTGGAAGAACACGACCACGGGCAGTGCCGTCCCCCCGGCACCGCCATTGGAGGCGGGCAGGAAGAGGCGGACCCAGAGTCGGCGAGCGGGGTCGATGGTGATGTCGGTCGTGCGGACGCCTCGGACGGGTCTGCGGCTGGGCCCGGTCTTGAGCTCCACGAGGGAGAGCAGGCGGCGGTTGAGGGTGCCGTTGGAGCGGCAGACGGCATCCCAAGCTAATGAGAGGAGGGAGATCTGTAGCTTCGTTTTCCATGGGAGTCTCGGGCCAACAGTTGAGCGCCTAGAGATCATCTTCCTCCTCTGCAAATGGTTAGTAGAGCCGCCCTTCTGCCCACCTTCCTCCATTTGCATCCTAAGTAATAGGCCAAATTTTGCCGACGTCAACAGCCCACACAAGTCCGCTGTAGTTATCCATGTTCCTTGTCCGCTGCTCGCAGAGCTGAGTGCAGCTGGAAGACATTAATGATGCGAAAAGGACCAAACAGTCTACAGCGCACAGACAGAGAGAGAGTGTCAGAATGTAACACAAAGATCCATGTGTACATAAACATCCATGAGTAAGCCTAGGTCAGCTTGTTCTAAGGTATCTCGCTGATGGCGATAGGCACCCGGATGGCGAGAATCGGACCGTTCACTATTGCGTGAGATTAAATGTAATGTCGAATGTCGGTTTCTGAAGGACTAAATCCATGGAAGAAGATCGCCCTTACGAAGAGGACTTGGGGTAGCTGGAGGAGGGTAAGCCGAAACCCTGCAACTGGGCGACCGCAGAGAAATCCTAGAGCGATTCCGTTTCCATTAGGTGTAGAGGATGTGGGATTGGAGAAGAGTGTAAGCTAGGCTTATCCTGGCCTGAAATCTTGCTTAGTGAGAAAATTTCAAGGGTTGACGAGGACTGCACACGAAGGATAATTTTGGAGAACTCTAATGGAAGGGAAGGTGGGATTCCTGTCAATGCCCAGGTGAAACAATCGACAAAACCTAGAAAAGGCATGGTATAGGTTGACGAAAGAATTAGCGATAACGCATGGTTGCCTTCAGAGGATAATTTAGAGCAAGGATAATTTTGGAGAACTCTAATTAGCGATAACGCCTCAGAGTCTTGCTCTACAGGCGGACGGTACGAGACAAAAACCCTGGCAACATTGCCCGCAACCTCGTCACTCTCTTACTGGGCAAAGGCAAAAACCTTTTGGCGGTTCACTTCCTTCCCCTGAGGCATTTATGTATCGACTATATGTCCCACTTGGATGAGGATCCGATCAGCCACCTTCTCATCCAAATTACCTGAAATGAATAGAGTCAAGAAAAAAAAATCAGCACAGCGCTCATGCCAGACACAAAAAGGATGAAGGAAGTACGGTAATTATATCAAGCGTCCACAGGATGAATCCAAAAATGGATAAAAGGGAAGAAATTGGGATTACGAAGCACTGACCAAATGTGGGGTTGATAACCACTGTAGGGATGTTAATTAAAGCATGCAACACTTATCATGTAAACAATATTACAAAATCATAGACGTCAACGGAATATATAGAAAACCAGGAGAAGATGGACAATCACTCCGATCCAGATCTAGACAAGCATTACCCCATCTGGGAACCTAGCGGACCCAGAAAAGAAGACCTCGATTAATGATACTTCCTTCTATATATTTATATATCATTACATTTAAATTGAAAATGACGCACAGGATAAGTGGTCATCACCCCCCCTCAAGATGTCTGAATTTCAGCGAATAAATAATCAATTATCCACTTGTAAGCCAAGATTGTTGTAGATACGAACTTCATAGGAAAATCAGGTTTGCAGATGAGGTCTTGCAAAATTGACATGCGCATACAAAATTCCTTTTTGGAATCAAACGTAGACTTAAGATGAAATGGTGATTATGTAAATAAACCCTCCTTCCTTTGGAGAGCTACTCAGTTAACCAATAAGGGAAATTTTGTGTAGCATCATAAAAACCTACAAAATCTGCATTAGTCAGGTTAGTAGGCTATTATCAAAGGTATCATTCGTTCGAAGTCCTTTGAAATAAAACATAGGTGAGAGTGAAGACAGTCATGACCAGATGTCTGAATCACCAATAAGAAAGAGCATCAGCATCTTAACTCCTACTTGTAGTCAATCAGTAAATTGCTCAGTAACTTGGACCGCAATAAAATATCATGTTTGACGTAAAAGGAAAATTCTTGATGAAAAGCTGGTCAAATGCTCATTTTCTTCCCATAAATAAAATTGTATAAAGCACGGAAGAGCAACTACTAAACAGAAACTTCTCGTTTCTCAGATTTCTCATGGTAAAGTTAATTTCCTAGAAGGGAAACAGTATTAACCATGGCATACTTTTATTGAGAAAAGGTTTCATGTTTCGTTAATGTTTCTCAGTTTCTATGGCGAGGGGATCGATCCATCTAAACCTTCTGAAGGTTATGTGAAACAGAAAATATTTCCAAGAAGTTTATTGTTTAATCAGTTGACGTCTCACTCAAAAATCACGTATATTTTTCTCTAGATAAATATTCGTTTCCTGTACTGGAAGAAGAAAACAATTATCAGGTATCGTCTAATTGTTTCTAACAAAGGTATATTTGGGGAAAAGAAAAGGATCAACCCAACTGGATGGAGGAACCTCAAGGTCGATACAGCCACATCCACTTTGACTCATATACTAAAGAGGTTACATCTCATTTGAACTACACAGTTGACAACTGGGAAGATTAGAAGGCCACATACTGACTGAGCATCTAGTAAATCATTTTTTTTTTTACTTAGAGCAATGGTTTTACCGTTGTTAGTGAATAGTTTTTGAAAAGTGCTCATACCCCCGCAAGACATCCGGCTAACCATTCTCGAACGCAATTCGAGAGACCACACGGGGTACAACCACTTCCACGGACAAAATTTGATTTCTCAACTGGGGAGCTCCATACAGTCATACAATTGTGAATATAGAGAAAGGAGATAAAAACCACCATATTTCAGGGCAGGGACAGCTTGTCAAAGAACAATAAGACTAAAAAACGAATAAGTCACGGACATCATACGTCACCTTCAAGTCGAAAAGCACGATGAAACGCCACCACCAAGTCCACATTATACACATAAAATGCCGAGATTCGACCGAAACTTCGCCACCGAGGGGACCGATGAAATGAAACCGAAGCCAAATTTCCAACGATAGTAAGTTCTCCTGTGTAAGCCCCATGGCCTCCTTACCAAGATCTGATCCCGCGATTGGACCCAAGCGACATGATCAATTTCTCTCTAACCAGGTTACGGAAAAATGATTGGCAGACACTTTTAGGTGATCAAAATGTATTCCTGAAATTGAACAGTCTAGACCAGACCTCAACCCCCTCTCCCCACTTGGAGTTTGTCGAAGACGAGCATTATTGGTCCGTTGGTTCTTACTGGCCCAAAACACAGCTCCAGACCAAGATTTACACGGCCCAGTCTAGATCACGTCCTTCGATGATAATGAACTTTGGCTCCCGGACACATTGGGACCAATATCTTTCCCACTAAACCTGCACCTCTACAGGCGCACGGGCCTTATTCAGTTGATAGCGGGCTACCTGGTAGATCGGCCCAGACACATATTAGAGGAATTCAATCCTGTTGTTTAGGCGGCGGCTAAGCCCAGGCCCGCGGTAAATTACGTATCCCACATTGATAAATAAAAAACATTATATTCTCATCTCTCTCTCTCTCTCTCTCTCTCTCTCTCTCTCTCTCTCTCTCTCTCTCTCTCTGAGATAATAATAGACGCTTTCCGGCGCATATTTAATAAAAGTCATTAAGATACACTTTTCTTAAAGGTAGATATTTATTTGGTATATTATAGTACTATATTTAGGCTCCGGTCGTCCAATTCCATTCGTTGCCGTACCATTCCAATCGACGCCGGTTGTTTGCTGGCGTCGAGCGGCTGCATCACGGAGCTGCCGCGTCGACGGCGCTGCCACGCTGCGGCCGACGGGTTTGCCGGAGGATGAAGCCCCTCAAGTCTTCGATCATCACCTCCAAGCTCTTGAGATCGAAGAAGACGTAGAAGGCGTGGATGGCGCCGGCGTACTCGATGATCTCCGCCTCCTTCCCCCTCACCCGCAGGCTCCGGAAGTACTTCAGCTGCCAGTCCAGCAGCGGATCGAACTCACCCACCATAACCACTACCGGCGGGAAGTTGTCCCCGAGGTCGGCCGCCGCGGCCTCGGGGTTCGACGCCTCGTGGTCCCGGGTGGCGCCGTGGGGGAGGAATGCCTTCCAGAGCCAGTCCGTGCGGTCGGTGGTCACGAGGGGCCCATGAAGGAGGCGGATCTCCGAGTCCACTCGCTCCTCCCCGCCAAAAAAGGGCTGAATGGCGACGAGTCCCGCTAGCCTGATCCGACCCTGCGGGGGGCGCTCCCCGGCACTCCACCGGCGGGCGACGTGGTGAGCTATGTTGGCGCCGGCGCTGTCGCCGGCAATGAAGCAATTGGAGAGGTCGGCCGCCTCGAAGAAGTCCCGGAGGAGGCCCCCGCCGGGGACATCAACCATGGACTCGAGGAAATGGAGGACGTCCACCCCGTCGTCGTACTGGGCGGGGAACCGGTGCTCTGGCGACAGGCGGTAGTTGACGGAGACTACGGCCACGGGGAGCTCGCTACAGATTCGGCGGCACACGGCGTCGTACTCAAGGGACGCGGCCGAGAGGAAAGCGAACCCGCCACCGTGGAAGAAAACGAGCACGGGCAGCGCCGCTCCCCTGGCGCCGCCGTCAGGGGCGGGCAGGAAGAGGCGGATCCAGAGTCGGCGAGCGGGGTCGATGGTGACGTCGGCCGTCCGGACTCCGCAGACGGGGTTGGGGTTGGGCCCGGCCTTGAGATCCACGAGCGAGACCAGGCGGCGGTTGAGCGTGCCACTGGGGCGGCGGACGGAGTCGCAGCCGATTGAGACGAGGGCGACTTGTAGCTTCGTCCACCATGGGAGGTTCGGGCCAACAGTAGAGAGCTTGCAGCTCATCTTCCTACTCCGCAATTGGGCAGTTGGTCAGTGGAGCTTCCCCTCTCCCTTGCCGCTCCATTCGCTACTTAAGTAAGAGGGCAGATATTGCTGGCCGCATTCATGACAAGGTTAGCCGCCGTACTCGGTTGGGCGTTGTCGTCCAAGTTCCTATTGGTCCCTACTGCCGTGGGAAGGACGGATCTCCTGCGCAAGGGATCTTCGGGGGGGGGGAGAGAGAGAGAGAGAGAGAGAGAGAGCCATGATATATCATACAGACAGGAAGGAGAGAACATGAAGAACAAAGCGCAAACCTGGGCCAACTTATTTTAAGACCTGATGGCGAAGATAATGAGAGGTCAGCTTAACCGTGAAAAACTTGTGAGCTGGAAAATTTCAATCACGAATCTGCGTTTACATTGGGTCAGGTCAATGGAATAAGATTACCTTGAAGATGGTATGAGGTCCCTGGAGGAGAAGGTACGTCAAAACCGTAAAAGTGAGGTCAAAGAGGATTAGCTTGTCTCTATATCAGAATCCACGTGCACATAAGATAAATATCTGAAGTCTCTACGGGAAGATAGAATCACATTCTTCATGCCTAGTGTTTCTCTTATGTTAACACACGTGTGTAGAAAAATGTGTTGACTCATGTATAAATATCATCCTCTAGAGGAACAAATTGAGGGTTTCTTTCCGCTCTGTTTTGTCCGTTTCTTTTCTTACAGGCATGAGCTGCAGTTCATGCGGTTTCTTCTTATTAGGCCCTTCATCAGCCTGGAATCAATATAATATGATATCAGGATGAGTGTGCTCCTTTCTCATTCTTTCTTCTGTTTAATGTAGCATATTTTCACACTTGCATGTGATGCGCAAAAGTGCTGTGTCCCCTCTTTGTATGATCATCTTGATCAACTACAAACTTTTTTGTGTCATAGTCGACACTCTTTCAACGAGATACATCATTTTTATAGTTTGCATACAAAGAAGGCGTGTTCCTCCTCAATCATGACAATACACCCTAAGGATGCTGCAAAACCAACTTTGACTAAAGTTTTTATAGACAATCCATTGAATCCTTATTTTTCTACATCATTGATCCATTGAATTATCCGTCATGGCATTGAGCTATGATGATAGCTCTTTTACTGAAAGATAAGGTAGATTTTTTTATGGCAATTTAAAAACTAGTAAACAAAGAACCTGTTTTGTTATCAGCTTGGAATGGGAGCTACAATATGATTATTTCTTGGATATTAAATTAAATCTTCTGTGAAATATCAGCCAGCATCATCTATTCCAATTATGCATATGACAGTTGAATAGAGCTTTGAGATAGTTATCGTCAAAGTAATGGACTTATGAAATTTCAATTATGGGATAAACTAATAAATTTTCTTCAGAATCAAGATTCAATTAAAACTTATTTTATCAAATTAAAAACTATTTGAGAATTGTTAAATAACTCAACATCTGCATCTTCTTTTGGGACAAAAGAACAAATGACTCATTGGTCAATTTGAGTCCATATCTTATTTATTGATCCAATACTATCTATAAATAAGGTGTTCTCCCTTATGTCTCAAGAAGAATATCATCAACAAGTTCATGTCCAACATTGAGTTGATCTATCCAACACCATGACATTTGCCACCAAGATGATGACTTCAAAGTCTTCAGAAAAATTTTAACCAAGTTTAGAGCATTTTTTTTTTTAATATTGCACAAATTATAATTTTTCAAGACATACATGAGAAAATACTATAAATTACATACTTATCTGTCAAGGTATAAACTAAGAAAAAAATATTGTGAAGCCAATGCCAATCAAATTTAAATTTTGACTCTACTCAACCATAAGATGTTTGGGATATTGGAATTTTTGTAAACAAATTGACCTCTCAACTCAAAATCAATTGATATCCATGCTAGCTAGATATTTAATTTCATCTACAATAATTTCCTGCAAACAAGATGCACATTTATCATCATATTCTATGAGAAATTATTTCTTCATTTCTTTGGATTCTACTCTATGTACTAATAATCATTGGCCAATTGATTACGTAGTATCAAGCCATATATGTTCCAATGCAAATGTCTGCATTGCATTATGACCAAAATGAAATTCAAAAATCATGTTACCCAACAATGCATACATACTTGTTAACTTATAGGGTGATATGAATTTAAAATCTCAATTGATCCTTAAGAATGTCTTAGTCTACCCTTGATTTAAATTTGATCTACTCTCAATGTTGTGACAATAGATTCAGGAGTTTATGTCTATTTTTCCCCTCACTATTTTGTGACTTAGGATGCCTCTCACATGATAATGATTGGGTAATAGAATTCAATACTTCTATATTTTGGAGTCAACAAATTTATCTACATTGACTGATCACAAAATGACACAAGTTTCTATAAACAGTATTTCAATTGAAGTTTCACACAAGATTTGTCTACCATTAAAGGTTTTTAATGCGATAAAGAATCATTTATTTGTGTTGGTCTTTATAATAGAAAGCCATATTATATTTATATGATAGAGAAACAAAAGTATTTATCTTTTGTAAGTCACAATAATACTTTTAATGTCCTTTTAATCTAACATATTGCAATGTTTGGGGACACATTGTTAGCCACTCTAATAATTGATATTTTCTTACACTTTGTGGATGATTATAGTCTTTTTACTTGGGTTTTTCTTATGAAATGTAAACCAAATGTCACATTTATCATTCCAATTTTTTTTTAACAGGATTCACACTCAATATGAACATAAGATCAAACAATTCAGATTTATTAATGCTAAATAACTTTAGTTTAATTATTTCTTCACTAAGAAACATGGTGCTTGATATGTCATAAAAAAAATTTGTGATAGAGTTAAGACATCAATATTTATTAAATGTGGTAAGATAATTTTATTTTCAATCTCACATTTTGGTTTGATTTCATTATCATCGCTACATTTTTCATAGCTGTATTTCAACTCTAATTTTAAATAACATAATTTCATATAAATTTCTGCATTTGAGATTAGTTGATTACTCATCTTTCAAGTATTTGGTTGTTTAGTTTGTCTTTACTCTTTTAACTCATAGACACAACTTTCATCTTTGTAAAAGGTAGTGTGTCTTCACTTGATATCCAATTGGGACAAAAAGTTATAATTTTCATGTTCTTGAAACAAAAGATATCTTTATCTCAATAGATTATTATTGACAGATATACACTTTTCATTTTACTAATTTAGCCCATTAGATGACTTAGTTGATCTATTCCTTAAATTGACTATTCTTGTAGAATTGGATGTTTGATTTGCAAACAGCCCATCGCCAGAGTTGTATTTACCTCCGTCAACCCAAAAATCTACTTGCATTAGAAAATAATCTTCTTACATTTGGAACTTCTATTGTAACGCCTTATTCTATACCTCATCCCACAATACCAATCATTCATATCTTCTCTCTAACTATATTTCCTTTGATTAATTATCATCCCCCTATAAATATATTGTCATATAAATCTCATCCAATTACGAACCATGATTTATCATGAAGCTATTAAATTTACTCATTGACAAGAGGTGATGTATATTGAATTATATGTCATGATAATAAATAAACAAGACATGGTCTATTTTCTTATTTTCAACATGAAAATATATAGTTAGACGTAGGTAGTTTTGTAAAGTTATGTACAATTCTGATATTTCTATTGAGTGATATAGAAGCCATCTCATCATTAAAGGATATACACAACAAGAGGGCATAGGTTTTCTTGAAATGTTCTCTCATGCTGCAAATGCCATCACCATCAAACTATCACCAATTAATGATTTCCTTAATGGTGATTTACTCAAAGAAGTTTATATGAATCTTGTTGGGGAATTAAAATATATGATATTCTAATGATGATAAAAAAATTAAGACTAACTGAAAGATCAAATCATGCTTAATTAAGAGTATGCATGATATAAGATTGAACATTAAAATACTTAAGTATAATTCAAATAAGATCATTAGAACTTTAAATAAAAAAATATCAAGTATGATCATGACCAATGATGTTGAACAAGTTAAATTGATTGATCACAGTATGATGAAGTACTATTTTGTATATTATTATGGAAGTTATTAATACATGCAAAAATTATTGTTTTAAGAAAATTATTTATTAAGATGTTCATTTTAAATCAAAAAAATTATGAATAAAAATAAGGGTAATGAAAGCTTGCTCAATTATCTATAAACTCATAATTTTACATCATAAGTTTTGAAAGGTTCTGACATGCAGTCATATTACTAATTTATGTGAAAATATATTTTCTAGATGTTACTAAATATTATGTTGAAAATGTTATTGACTGCTTAAATCACCAAAGTAATAATTTAAAGTATTGAAATCTTCAATCAAGATGTCTTCTAAGACATTATACTTTATCTTAAATGATTTGGAATGGTCTTGGAAGTTTTATTTAACACTTAGTCAGATATATTTTATTAGTTAACTCATAATATTAGATCCAAAATGTACTTCATATGAACTGACATAATTTGGATATGAATGTAAAGTTTTAATAGAACTCCAAATTAGTTTCATTTAAGGATATCTTGATCACTTAAAGGACATATCATATTAGTCTCTCAACTATTTGAATTAATCATACTTTGGAGAAAATAGTCATAGAAAAATTGTGAAAATCTAAACATATTTTCATACAAGATTTGTTGATAAATCATATTGTCTTTCAATGACTAAAGGTGAGTCAATGATAATTTTTATTTTCTCAATGACCTCTAATTTTACATTTAGTTTTCACATTATAAATTCTAGTAATAAATTGTAAGGATCATGTTAGTTAGTCAATAAGTGTGAAGTCATTAATTAAAAGAGATTATATCGTTAAAAGATCATCCTCAACTTGATTAAAAATTTAAAGAGCCTTCTATCAATAGTTACTAATTTGAAAAGAAGAAGACAACAAGTTCAAAACAAACATCATTATCTTTATT